TTCTTTTATCTAGTCAACAGGGTTATTACATGTACTCTTTAAGACTTCATAGGAAGGTCGGTCAACCTGATCCGACGCTACTATTGAATCAACATAAAAGAAAAAGAAAACTCGCGCCACACTACTAACAGTGTGATAGCGCAATAAGACAGCGGAATACTGTTCCCAAGGGAGCAGTGAATCGCTCAATATATAATCGGACTACGGGAGCCGACTGATTGCTGAGCCGCAATCATGGAATCGTCGCTCAAAAGTGGAGCCACAGAGTCAACAAAGTCCTCAACAGTCAGTTGGGGCACCAATACAGGCGGAAACGCGCCACGAAACCAAGGAGGCAACGGAAACAAGTCCAATAAGAATGGGAATCAGTCAAAGAAGAACAACAACAGCAACGATAGCAAGAAGTTCACAGGACACAACCAAGATGACCTCAAAGGATACGTACTGACAGAAATGTCATCAACACAAGACTACACTGCATTCAAGGAGCGTGTGGAAACCATGGCAGGCACCAAATATCTGCCATCAGTCGGTCGATCAATAGAGACCGTGACTACACTCAGGTTAGCAGACTTTGCACCGAAGAAACCCAAGGAATCGGATTGGTTGATTCCAGACCCCAACAAACCAGGCCACATGACTGCGGATGAAGACCTTAAAGTTACTGCCAACAAGATTTATGACGCACAGATTGGAGAGGTTGCAAAAGAGCTCCTCAGACACCAAAGAGATATGGAAAAGATGTACAACGTGGTGCTTGGACAGATCGATAACGGTCTCAAGGAAAAGATTAAGACACATGAAATATGGGATGCGACTAGTAAGTCTAAGTGCGTTATCGCACTCCTAACTATACTCCGAGATATATGCTTCCAAGGAAATAGAACAAAGGTACACCCACCTACCAACTTCATCCGAGCCCTGAGAAAGCTCTTATGCAACAAGCAAAAGAACAATGATTGCGCTAGCTACGTCAAGTCCACCATCGAAGCATACGAAGTCTTCCGGTCAATCGGTGGATCCATTGTGTGTCCAGCCCTGACCACATACTTACTGAGCAACAACAAGGACGTCTCGTACATGGAGTACACCGGCATGTCACCAGAAGAACGCTCACTCATTGACGTGCAGGTGGAACAGTGTTTCCTTGCAGCGCTTATAATCGAAGGGAGTGATACAGAAACCAGTACCCTCAAAGAAACCCTCGAAAACGACTACTGCTTGGGGACCAAGAACTATCCAACCACCACCACAAAAGCCCTTGACATGCTCAACCACTTTAAGAACTCCAGGAAGCCCAACCGATCAAACAACAACAAGTCTAACAACAACAGGTCGCAGCGCAACAACAAGAAACAGCACACCTCCGACGCAAACGACGACGCCACCGCCCTGGTCACTAAAGGGGAGTCTTCCGACGCCGCCGACCTCAACAGTCGGCAGCTCCTCATCAACGCCGTCGCCAACGACGATGTTTTCGACAGTGACTATTTTAGTTTCTTTCAGTACGGCGTTCTCTCAGAGGAAGATACCAGTGTCCCCCAGAACTCACACAGCACCACACCCGCGTCACTCACAAGCACAGACCTCGACAACTGGGACTATTGGAACGCCCTTGACTGGGCCTCCCCTGACTCCGATGCCGATGAATCGGCCGTCTATAGTCTCAATAACCACCATAGTAACACTACGTCAGCACAGTACACACCCTCCTCTACATCGCCATCCCATCATTCGCAGGACATGCGCGCAATAATTTCACCTGTGACCACAGCACTCCCAAACACCGTAGAATTTGCTACGATCACCGAAGACATCTCCACGTTGTCATCTGTGTTTTTGCCGCCTCCACCTCCTCACTGGAGGAGTGAGCCCCCCCAACGCGTCGACAATCAATGCAGCGACGACTACATCGACTTGATCGATCTATTCGATCCCCCACCACGCGATACGGGGAAGACCAGCGATAAGGAAGAACAGCAGCAAGGACCCAGGAGTGACACGGACACTCCAACAATTCAGGAGTGGAACGGACGCGAGGCTGACTTCACGTACAGCAAGCCCATCCAACGGCTCCTCGCCCAAAGAACCGACGGAGCAGTGGACCCAGCATGGATACTGTTAGACAGCGAATCATCCATAAACTTAATATGCAACAAAACCATGGTCAAAAACATCCGAGTAGCACCCAACAATCGGCACATGAACATTCACTGCAACTCAGGAGTGGCAAGGACAAACCTCATAGCAGAACTCCCTGGATTTGGAACAGTCTGGTTCTACGAAAAGGGGATTGCAAACGTACTGTCCCTAGCACTTGTAACTGATCGATACCGAGTAACTATGGACTCAATAGTGGATAATGCACTACATGTGCATCGGCGAGGCGGTCACGGCACCCGGAGATTCCAAAGATCCGATTGCAACCTATACTACAGTGACACAAAGGCTGATCACTCAAATGTACTAGCTATCACGACCAGCGAAGGCGTCAAGAAGCTGTACTCAGGCTTGGACCTGCGACGGGCAAAGAAAGCACGGGACCTACAGGAAAGACTAGGGTTGCCAACAAGCCAAGACCTTATACGTATCATAGATAACAACCTAATTAAGAACATAGCCGTGACTAGGAAGGACGTGAAGATCATGGGAGAGGTGTACGGGCCGCACTCCGGAATTATCAAAGGGAAAACAGTGCGGCGGACCCCTGGACATGTCCGGGAGGACATAAGCGAAGTACCACAGCCCATACTTGACACTTACGGCAACATTGTCCTCTGTGTCGATGTGTTTACAATCAACGGAGTGCAGTTCCTGCATACGATCTCGCGGCACATAAGAGCACGGACTACCAAGGCAATTGCGGACCAAAAGAAGCCAACCCTAATGAGGGCTCTCAGGGCAGTTGTAGGGCACTACACATCCCGAGGGTTCAGAGTGACACAGATACACAGCGACAATCAGTTTGATTGCCTCAGGGATGACCTACTGTCGATGAACCCCCCAATCCAGCTACACTGTGTGCCCGCGGCTCAGCATGAGCCCACCATTGAGCGGAGCAATCGTACAATGAAGGAAAACGTAAGGAGTGTGTTTGCAAGCCTGCCAGTGAAGAGACTACCCAAGCGATGTCTGATTGAGTTAGTCTACGCAATCACGTTTTGGCTCAACTGCAGAACTACAGGCGTATCACCAACTATATCAGCGCGGGAGCTGCTGACAGGGAACATTTTTGATGCCAATGAGGTTCGTTTCCAGTATATGGAATACATCCAAGCCCATCACGGGGATACAGACAACACCATGAAACCAAGAGCTGACGATGCTGTGTACCTGAGACCCACTGGAAGTCTCGCCGGAGGTTTCTTTGCCTACGATGTGAATACAGGACAGATCATTCGACGACAGACCGGAACATCATTGCCCATGCCAGACACCATTATCAAACGACTGGAGGGGATCGCAAAAGCGGAGAACATGCCTCAAGGAATCGTATTTGGAGACCGACAAGGACTGACCACTGTACTTGACCTACACACCGAGGATGCCGCGGCGGAAGATGATGATGACGTCACAGACGGATCCTATGATCCAGCAGATGATGAAAGCCAACAGTCCAACCAATCCTCGGATGAGTCGATCGGGGAGGGGTTTATCGAAGAAACCGGGGCGATAGCAGAATCAAATGAACGAGTGGAGGAAGACCCAGGAACTCACAGAGCACCAGATGGCAATACAGAACATGACGGAGCCGAAGGAGATGAACACCCGGAGCACGACAATATGGAGGAGGCAGAGGACACCGGGGAAACGGAGACAGATCCGGAGCCAGTGCCAAGACCAAATCTACGACCAAGAGTAAAGCGGACTCACAACAAATACGGGGCCAATGAGGGTTTCGAACCAAGCCTACACACCAGATCATTTTTCACAGTCGGCTACACCGATGCAGTATCCAGATTATGCGAAGAACACACCGTGCTGATGCTGGTGGCTGCGGCCATAGACCAATACAACAACATCGAAGCAACACACTCAACTAAACAATACGGTGTCCGGCAAGGAATAAAGATTTTTGGCGAAGAAGGAGTGAACGCAGTACTAAAAGAACTAAAGCAGTTCCATGACAGGGGGGTTATATCCATGATAGATCCAAAGCTCATAACCCGTGAGATGGTACAGCAGGCCCTACCATATTTGATGTTCCTCAAGCGAAAGCGAGACAGCTCTATCAAAGGTCGGGGATGTGCGGATGGCCGAAGACAAAGGGAATACATAAGCAAGGAAGATGCGACGTCCCCTACAGTATCCCTGTACGCGCTGATGTTATCATGCCTGATAGACGCAATAGAACAACGCGACGTGGCGACTGCTGACATACCCGGAGCGTTCCTGCAAACAGAGATGCCAGAAGACGAGGATGTCTACATCCGGCTCGATGGGACGATGGCAGAGCTACTGTGTAGAGTGGACCCAAAATTATACACGAAATATATCAGTGGAAAAGGAGGAAAGAAGGTGCTGTTCGGCAGAGCAGAGAAAGCAATATACGGTACTCTGCGAGCAGCGCTACTCTTCTGGGAAAAGTTATCCGGAAAACTCATTGAGTGGGGATACGAGCTTAACCCGTATGACGCGTGTACAGCCAACAAAGTAATAGACCAGGGCCAATGCACAATCGTGTGGCATGTAGACGATCTAAAGATATCACATCGAGACCCGAAGGTAGTGGACCAGCTGATTGCGGACCTCAACACAGAGTTCGG